AAGTGCAGTGTTCTTAGACACACACAGCAGTGCAGTGTTTTTAGACACACACAGCAGTGCAGTGTTCTTAGACACACACAGCAGTGCAGTGTTTTTAGGCACACACAGCAGTGCAGTGTTCTTAGACACACACAGCAGTGCAGTGTTCTCAGACACACACAGCAGAGGTTTGGCTCAAACCCACAACACTAGAGGGATGAGGCAACAGTACTGTGAGGTACCATGCTGGTGTTTTTCTTAGAAATATGTTTTAGGGTGTGATGTTAAAATTGAATCATATCATTTTAGAAGCTGTGGAAGTTGAAATGAGATACTGTGGAAGCTAATGTGACTATACACAGAATTATTCATTATTATTGTTGTTTTGTTGTTGTGGTTGTTGTCAGTGATGTCATCATCATTGGTGATGATGATGATGATAATAATAATGATAATAATATTATAATTTTTCTTGTAACAGCTACTTTTATCAGCTCTGGGACTCTCCTGCTGCCGTCCCTTGTACATTTTCCCAGTTCTAATATATCCTTCCATATAATGCACTGAACAATACCTAAGTGTCACCCCTCTGTTCACCTGTCATGTTGGCAGTTTCTGGCAAAGACATGGCCTGTTTGTACAGATCACAGTGACCCCAAAAATGCAATTCTCTTTGGCAGAAAAAGAATGATGTTAATGCCTTAAAGGGAAATTCACCCAAAAACTGTGTCAGTTCCTGACATGTTCAAATTATATTGTACTATTTAAATCCATTGTAGAAAACTAGTCATTTATAGAATGGCAATCCATATTTGGGCAAACACCCATTCACTCAGTCATACACAAAAGGTTATGTATTCAGGTAAAATTCATATACTGTGTAAGATGCTACCACCTTTCAGTATTTACTGTAGTATCTGCACCCACCTCATTTTTCCTGATTGTCATGTGTCACTATGATTGACTTTTTTAATGAATGTTTCTAGTAACATTGAATTAGAGGAAGAACTCGCCTATATATTTCTGGCTTTGCATGTATCGGTGGTGCTATGGACAGTAAGGAAGGAATGCACACTGGGAAATGAAACCCGTCTACCAGCAGTAATTAAAACAGCAGGAAGCAGAAGAAACTGCATGTTTTGATATGTTGTTAAAATGATTCGGCACAGTATAGATAGTAACAGTGTAGATTCCTGCTATATGGAACAGCAAGAGTAACAGTGAATGATCAGATTTGGAAGGAGCCCTCTGTCGGTGTCTTTCTACAGGATTCCCTTGGAGTCTCTCCTAATGACATTCGCATTTCTGACATGCGGCCCACTTTGGTGGAGACCTCTATGTACAAACCAAAGGTTGTCTTACTAGGCAAAGATAAGAAAGGTAAGTGTTCCTTGTTTTTTTTTGTTTTTGCATCTTTATTAGCTTCAAAAAGTTGTAATTGTACCATGTTTGTTAAACACAGTCCCCACATAAGTATCTATTTACGGCACAATCTTTTTTATAACGTAAAAGAAACACAAAATGTGTTGGTCATTATCATAAAGCGCTTTCACTGGCACCCCCAGTCTGAGGCAAAGTGAAACTGGCTGGCAAGTCAGAGCCCCCTCAGAAGTTGGTGCCCTGGCAGCCGCCTGTATTGCCTATAGGATTGTCCGGCCCTGAATGCTGCAGTTATATTTTGGTATTTAAATGCTACTCATATTTAAAAAAAAATCAAACAAAAGTTTGTATTCTAAACCCTGAAGTTTAATTGAACATATGCATGGCAGTAGCCCAGTCAACCAGTATGCATAGTATTATAATTAAGGATTATTGTTAAAATATATTGGCATAAAAATGTGCATTTCAGCAATACATCGTTCAGCACTGCACTTCTGATTTACACATAGTATTTGGTGATTATATTTCCTTAGGGGAGTGTTATTACATTTAAAAATACGGAACCTTGGTTTTGTGTGTCAGAGTCGACGGACGAATCAGATGCAGAAAAAATGCACGGCCTGAACAACAGTGGATCCTCAGCGACCTACTCGGACTACTCTCCGTCGCAGGGCTCCTCCGGCTCGTCCAATCCCCCGGGCACTGTGTCCGCACTCCAGCCAGTCGGAAAGGAAGGAGTGTCCCAAACGCACTGGACTAACAGGTGGAGAGTCTGCACAGAGCTACTGCAGTCACACTCCTGCATGTTTTCAGGGGTTTCTGATGAGCCTCTTGGCCAGTGAAGGTTCCACCCTTTATAGGTTGGCTAGCATTTTGAGTAGGACACCATGTATTAATCCATGACCATGCATTTTCCTAATCATTTGGCTGGGGGGCGGGTTAGACTTTTTATTCACAAGCGCTACTTGATCAGGGATCTGCGGATTCTCATTGCCTGGCATTGTGTGCCCAGGTTGGCACTACTTCACAGCAGCTTGCGGTGAGTAGTGAGAAATGAGCATGTTTGACTTGGCGAGAGCGTCAGCCGTGTGCCCAGCGTGCCACTAGTGCATCCAGGGGGGTGTGGAAAGCTCAATCAGCCGCAGAGCGGCAACGGGCCAGAAGCTGAAAGAAATAACTGCTGAAATCTTATAAGTATTATGGGTAACTTTCACATTATGACTCTCCACAATCTCATATCTGTAATACTAATGAAAATCTGATGTTTCATGCCTTATGTAGCTGTTGGTGATGTCTGTACCCTGAGAGGATTGTCATTACAGCCCATGCACTGTAATGAACACAGTTCTTGCTATCTGCATATATGTTTTTCACATTAAACTCTGTGCTGAAACATCACAGATTTGCCCTGAGTTGGAAATTCACTGTCACACATTATAAAAAATGCAGTGGTAGATGAAAAATGTAATGCTCTGATTTGTTAATTTAATAATAATAGCACTGATGATCCAGTCTCTCGGTCTTGGACTGATCATGCGTTATCGGTAAGTACTCCTCAACTTTACGCCAAGGAAAGGAAGGTTCTGAAAAAGAGTGGCCCAGTCCAGGCTTAATTCTGGAACAAAGGTTAACAGCTGTGCAGGGCCGTGCAGGTCTGGGACCCATTATGCAGCATTGAAATACTGTATAGCATCAAAATTCCGTTTATGTATTTACTCGCAGAAAATGAGTACTTATTCTGTAGAACCAATTTTATAGATAAATACTGAAGTTTATTTTCACCAATAGGATTTTATTAAACTTCAGTTGAAACTTTTTCTTCATAAATAGGTGTCAGGTTTGTTTATGACTCAAAGGTTGAAAAGCCACATTGGTGACATCAGCAGTATTACCTGCTTTTGAAGTATATCTTGTTGCATATAATATAAGGTTTAATTGGCAAATGATTATAGCTTGAATTACATGTAAAATCAAGGTTTCATCATCTTCATACTCATATACTCAGCCATATCTCTCATTTATCTGCCCATCCTTCTACGGTAACTGCTTACCAGACACTTTCTGAGTAACCTACCTTGATTATGGAGAAACTGATGTACAGGTGTGGAGATTTCCACAGAATCCCACATAGGCAAGTCACATATCCACCCCTATTCACTGGAGCTTTGGGATGAACATCAGAACTTGTAAATGAGGCTATTACCATCTCGTGCTTTCCAGTAATACTTATACCAAATTTGTCATGATATCAGTGCTTTTCTTTTGAATGAACAATTTTAATTATTCCATTTACTTCATTATTTTTAATTATATTGCTGTTCATTTTACAACTTTATTATTATTTTTGTGGTTTTGATGCATATTCTTTATTTCCCTTTGCAGTTGTTTTCGATCTAAATACTATTGCTGAATTGCACAAATTGTCATAGCACTGCTATTTCCTATAGGTTGGCTCAGTCTTTCCCAAAGCCCATTGAGACCAAACCATTGCTGAGTCAAAGGGAGACCCCTCCTTCCAGCACGTTGCAACAAAGAAGCGAAAGACGCCCTCTCAGCGACACCTTTGACAGCTGGAATGACACCTCCCACTATGACAACACAGGATTTGTGGCCGAGGAGCCTCCAATCGACGGTTCGAGCAGCGGCAACCCCATGCTGGGCTCCAAACCTAGGAGTATGTCCGCACATGGGCGCCGGCCCCTCATTCGACAGGACCGGATAGTCGGGGTTCCGCTCGAGTTGGAACAGTCTTCCCACACCTTCCATCCCGTCCGCAGCACCCCTGAACCCGGAACTCCTACCCCAACAAACCCCTGGCAGAATTGGACAAGGACCCCCAGCCCCTTTGAGGACAGGACTGCCTTCCCCTCCAAGTTGGAAATCACCCCCGCTAACAGCCCTAACCCAGACCGCAAGGACTTTGAGCAAGACTTGGCTGATCTGCCTGGCACCTTTCGCTCCTCAGGCGCTTGGGGCTTCCTAGACTCACAGGACTCGGGGTCGACCAGGAGCCACCCGAATGTTTTTACGCATGTTCAGTGCAGACCAGACTCTGCCAAAAGTGGGTTGATCATCAGCAAAAGCACAGAGCGGCTCTCACCCATGATGAAGGAGGTGAAGGCTAAGTTCAAAAAGTCACAGAGCATCGATGAGATTGACATTGGCTCATACAAGGTGTACAACATACCCTTGGACAGCTACAGCTCCAGCATAGAGAATCAGGGCAGTGTAGACAGGGCAGATCTCCCCCCACCCATGGAACAGAGCATGTCCCGAAGCCAGTCTGCTCCTATGCTGGACGATGACATGGACAGCTTTGGCATAAACAAGATGTCTCAGCAACAGAAACCTTCCATCCCAAAAAAGGTGTATCAGTTTGACCAAAGCTTCAACCCCCAAGGAGCCATGGAGGTTGTGAATCCTGACAGGAGGGTCCCACCCCCCTTTCCAAACACCCCCGAGTATATCAACCAACCAGGAAAGACCCTTCCCAAAGAACTTGTAAGTCCCCGAGTGTACCGAGGCTATCCCCCTATGGAGCAGATGTTCTCCTTCTCTCAGCCGTCTGTTAACGAGGATGCTATCAGCCAGCCATTCCCCACCCAGAGATCCCGACCCGGCTTCCTACGGCGGGCAGACTCCCTGGTCAGTTCCACAGAGATGGCACTCTTTCGGAGAATGGCTGAAGCCCACGAGCTGCAGTCCAGCGACCGATACGTAAGGCCACACTTTAAGGGCATGTTGGAACATCAGAATAGCTTGTCCACCATGGTCGACTCCCAGTTCCACAAGAGGAACGGTCGGTATGAGGATGACTACTCCTCTTACCAGGAGCCCAAAAAGCCAATCATGGGCTACCCCACCAAGAGCCTGACTCAGCGGCGACCCCTGTCTGCCAGGAGCTACAGCACAGAGACCTACGGTGCCTCACAGGCTAGGCCTGTGTCTGCTCGGCCAACCATGGCCGCCCTGCTGGAGAAGCTGCCTTCTGATTACATCTTGAGCACTTGCACTGAGAAGATCCCCGATGGAGACATGAAGCTGCGACCTGTACCCCAGAAGCCAGAGGACACTTCCTCTAAAATGCCGGTGGACTGGAGACAACAGCTGCTGAGACATATAGAAGCTAAAAGATTAGACCGGGTAAGGTGAAAGCTCCCATTGTTGTGCATTCGTGTGCATCCCCATGCACATCACAGGTAGTAAACGGCACACTGCAGGAACACTCCACTGTCGGCACCTTCCCACCCCAGCAGTCAGCCCTGAGGATGTATGACTGTCGTCTTGAACACGTGTCAAGTGTGTTGCTTATAAATGTGTAATTGCTGCAGTAGAAGTACCGGTTGCTTATGAACCTAGAACTCCTACATGCATAATACATCTTCAGAGTCCGTATTCAATATAGATTTTTCAGTACATTTAGTATAAAATTTAATTCATTATTATTATTATTTCTTAGAAGAAAAGTAATTGCTGATTTATGTTGTTTCCACTTATACACAAACGAATGCTGATACAGTCAGTATGGAATTATTTTATTTTGTATACCACAGGAGTGCCTGTGGAGTGCAGGCTGATTTATATTTCTGCACAGAATCTAAGCCATAGGCAGCCACGTACGCCGTGATGTAGCCTGACACGCAGCTCCCCAGGAATGTAGCTATACATGCGTAGGCAGCATAGACTACAGCGTAGGGTACGCAGCTGTGTGGCTACCGACGACGTAGGGTACGCGGCTGTGTGGCGACGGCGAACCGACAACGTAGATTCTACGCAGCGGTATAAATCAACCATTACATTGGCTGGTTTCATTAGGCCTTTGTAAAATCCAAAAGTTTTCCCGAAAAGTCGTACAACTGGGGTCCTGTAATTAGCTAGTTGCTAAACCATTTCAGTGGCTTTTCATAATCCCTACAAAAAGAAGAGTACATGAACAAAAATCAGGACCTCTGGTATACTAATTATGGCTTTAAATTAACCAAATGAATGAAGGAGACCATGCGTTAACCAACAAATAAAGGATGCATATTTGAATTAATGCAAAATATACACAATATTATTGTGATGTATATTGGTTTATACAATATAGCTCATTTCGTACAATATAAAATTCAGTCAGAAATATTTTGTAAAACTTTCATAACATCTATGTGAAAATCTGAAAGAAATATACAGGACCAGCCTTAGGTATCAAAAAATCAGTACGATAGTTAAGTTGATGATAATTGATTGACAGTATTTTAATTTACGAGATATCTGTTATTATTTCTGGTATATAAAACATTTCTATTGCCGAGTATTATACTGCTGTGTGTTACTGTATGTGTCAATATTAATTATGTACTGTTCGCCCTGTTTGTCAGCTATGCTGTGTGTATGATGTTACTGTGTTTAACCCACGTGGCTGATCTCTCTCTGTCCGACCCCGCCCATTCACCCATGTCACGTGATTGTTCCCCAATCAGAGCGCTGCCCTTAAGCACAACACAGTAAACTTCGGCATGCTGTATTCCGGACGCTATGCCGACCCGCATGCCAGCAGAAGCATGACCGTAAATTTTTACAATCATGCAAAGCATGAAAACCAAACAGCACAGTGGCTACCTCTTCTAAATGTGAGTATGAACAAAAAAGCCGTTAACGTTTAGTCCAGCACGGTGTTAACTGGTGCAGAAAGTCTGTCATGTTTTCCTATATAGACCAGTCCAATTAGAAATTAACATAAGAAAAATACACTTGCATAAAAACACATAAAATACATTTAAGTGTTACTGTTAAACGTTTCCTTTCGTTAAAATTTTGCAAAGGTTATTTAATATGCATTAATTTGCAGATTTTACATTATTCTTATTGCACCCAATAGAGGGCAGCATATGCGCCTCATATTTTCTTAACAGTTGTGGAATTTCTGTATTGTAAACCAATTAGAAAACGATACTTAGTCGCAAAAATGGTACGGTAGTTATCACGGCAAGATAATATTATCATAAAAATCTACTTCAAGGGTGACTGATGTTGCCTTATACTAAGTAATGAAATGCATTTTAATCTCACCTCTGTGACTGAACTGAACTGAATTAAGCTATATATACAGCAGCCTAAAAACACATCTTATGGGAACCATCGATGTTTGGGAACAATACAAATTAAAACCACCCATTCCAAAGAAATGCTTTGTGTTGCTGTGTCTGAAATGGGAACATGTTCGCTGCCTGTCCTCCCGCTGTGTCAGCCAGAGGGCGCCAGTGCACGGTGTCTCTTCCTGCTGCAGTGCGGTATAGGCTCCTCTGTACCTCTGTCACTGACAGTTACCCTCATCTGCATGTCTTCCAGTTTTTATGTCTGTTCTGCTAAAGCTGAATAGGATGTATGAATAGTTAGTGCATTACACACAAGTTGCACATTGTTTTTATAGATATGAATCTTGAAAACTTAAATGATTCACTTTATTAGCAATTCATTCAGAATATTTATTTGCAGTGGTTATTAAGTAATTTGTTGTAGGGTTATTTGAATGATCTAATATAAAATCCACAGTAATGTACTGGTGACAGTGTTTTTTTGTTATGCTGTGTTTGGAAAGCAGATGTTTGCACTGAGTGTGAGTTTCAGGAACAGCACAGGCCAGCCTGCAGCTTCCCCTCGGGGCTCTGACTCGGCCTCTCGCCTCTCTCGCAGACACCATCGCAGCAGAGCAATATCTTAGATAACGGTCAGGAAGAGATCTCCCCCACCAGTCAGTGGGCCCCGTACTCACTGGGCCGGAGGGATGTGCCCCCGGACAACATCGCCAAAAAGGTAGGCAGCGCTGGGGCTTTTCCGCACACTACCTGTACCACAAAGCTGACCCATCGGGAGGTCCATCCCCAGAACAGCGGACAAAATGGGCAGGTCGTGCCGTGGACCTAATCTTCCTTTATTAATTCTGCTTCTAACACAGACAGGCTGCTCCTCCAAACAGTGAATCGTACGGCTGCAGCTGAGTACATACAGCACACAGACAGGGTCAGGAGGTTAGGCAAAGCAGTCAGATGGCTAAGACATGTAACGTGACTGATTTTCAAAATGGTTTGATTCTTGGTGCCTGATGTGGTTCTCAGAAACAGCCGTCTTCCTGTGATTTTCATGCACTACAATGTCTAGAGTTTACAGAGATTGGTGTGATGAGCAAAAAGTCTGGCCGTTCTCCTCTGATGTAATAGGAAGAAGGAAATAACAGCTCCGCATAACAGTGGTGTGTGGAAAGGCTTCTCTGAACACACAACCTGTCTGCCCTTGAAGCGGTTCTGGAGTGGGTTCTACGCAGTACTAGCATGGTGTACCTAATAATGTGGCTTACGTGAGTGAAATATATTGACACACATGCATAGACAATTCTGTGCAAAACTCTCTGTCAAAGAAAATTGTTTAAATGATCTTAATGTTGGCATAAAACTATATTATGACAGTCAAAGTGTGTCAGCTTGGCCATTTCTCTTAGTCACCCCACAGTGAATTTGATACAAGAAACATGAGAAACAGTGAGGTCACTGTGAGATATCACATGATTACTGGTGTAGTAAACTGTTTTTTGGCGTCCTCCAATCCAACATACAGTTGTGTTCAGAATAATAGCAGTGCGTCTAAGAAAGTGAATAAAGCTGAAAATCCTTATAATAGTTTTTATTTCCATACATGCAAATGCATTGGGAACACTAAAAATTCTATTCCACATCAAAACAAGAAGAGAAATTCATCGCATTTGTGTTATTCCTTTACAGAAAGCGACGGAAAGGGAATATTAGGCTGTTCAAAAAAATAGCAGTGTCCACATTCTTCTTTACAAACTCAAAGATTCACTGTATGAACTGAAAAATGTTTTAAGATTTTGCTTTCCTTTGAATCATTAAACTAATATTTAATTGTATAACCACTGTTTCTGAGAAATGCTGCATATCTGTGTTGTACAGAGTTGACCAACTTATGACACCTGTGAACAGGTATTCCAGCCCAGGATGATTGGACTACATTTCTTGGTTTTGCCTCAGAAACAGCATTTTTGATGTCACCCCACAAGTTTCCTATTGGATTAAGGTCCGGGGATTGGGCTGGCCACTCCATAAAGTCAATCTTGACGGTCTGGAACGAAGATGTTGCTCGTTTACTGGTGTATTTGGGGTCGTTATCTTGTTGAAACACCCATTTCAAGGGCATTTCCTCTTCAGCATAAGGCAACATGACCTCTTCAAGTATTTTGAGGTACTTAAACTGATCCATGATCCCTGGTTTGCGATAAATAGGCCCGCCACCGTAGTATGAGAAACATTCCCATATCATGATGCTTGCACCACCATGCTTCACTGTCTTCACAGTGTACTGTGTGGCTTGAATTCAGTGTTTGGGGGTCATTTGACAAACTGTCTGGGGCCCCTAGACCCAAACAGAACAGTCCACAAAATGTTGCGGCGTTTCTCTTTAGGCCAGTCAATTTGTTCTTTGGCAAATTGAAACCTCTTCAGCACGTGTCTTTTTTTCAGCAATGGGACTTTGCGGGGGCTTTTTGCAGATAGCTTGGCTTCATATAGGCGTTATCTGATTGTAACAGTACTCACAGGAAACTTTAGACCTTCTTTGATATTCCTGGAGATGATCATTGGCTGAGTCTTTGCCATTTTGGCTATTCTTCGATCCATTCGAATGGTAGTTTTTCGTTTTCTTCCATGTCTTTTAGGTTTTGGTTGCCATTTTAAAGCATTTGCGATCATTTTAGCTGAGCAGTCTATAATTTTCTGCACTTCTTTATATGTTTTCCCCTCTCCAATCAACGTTTTAATCAAGGTACGCTGTTCTTCTGAACAATGTCTGGAATGACCCATTTTACTCAGAAAAATCAGAGAGAAATGCACTATAACCAGCATGTACAACATTTGCTGCCTTCCTTCCTAAAATAAGGCCCATAATTGGCACCTACTTTTTCACAGAATGAATGACCTCACTAATTGAACACTGCTATTATTTTGAACACGCCCCTTTCAAGTAATGATTCTGTTACACATAATCAGCAGCATGCATGTCATGACTGTTGGGTCTGTTGGTTTTCCATTACTCCACTACACCTACTAGTAAATTATTTGCCATGTAGAAATATAATTTCTACCAAAAACGGTGATTGATCAGGTTAGTGATGTCGGACTGCTACTATTTTGAACACAACTGTATATATTATGCATTTATGAGTTACTAAACTTTATGTGTGTCATGTGTCATCTGCTGGCCTTTGCTTGTTATCTGCGGCTTTCTTGAACTCCCAAAAACTCCCATTTAATTTCTTATACAATATATATCAAAAGCATGGTGGAGAAAGTCACAATGCAGAAAAGTCGACTGTATATCAATATTGGTTTGCCAATTTGATATTTATTGTGATTTTTTTTAAGTAGTTTTTGCTGAAGAGCATTGTAGGTCTACGATTAAAGTCAAGGGCTGTAACAGTAAACATGTAACTGAAAGACACACAACAAACATCATTTTCAGTTAGTAACACGCAATGAAGCAAAATACTGCATTTGTTAACATGGGTAGAAGCTACAACTAGATGTTCAACACTGAAAGCATTTTGTTAATTGTGGCTTTGAGTTGGTTATGGCCAGTGCTGGAGAGTAGTAGTTCGGGACATTAAATTACACCAACACTAGAGAGAGTAGCTGATAAGAAGCCAGACTGTTTGTTGGCTCTGATATACCAATCTTGCATATGTTGCTGGAAACACATCCAACATGTTAAGTTATTTGATACATCATTATCCAAGTACTGTATGTGTATGACTGGAGCAGGACAGAAACAGCCTCTGCAAGTTAGTCTCCCTGTGGCAGTTAAGGCACTTTTGCCAGGAAATTCAGGCTGTGCCAAAAAATGTAACTAAGGCTTTTGGGGTGTTTATCGCTACAGATATGTGACGGTGGTTGATGGATGCCCATGAGGTGACACTTCTCTGGTCATGGGTGACTTCAGTGCGACCACTGGCACTGACAGGGCTGGCTGTAGTAAACTGTGTCAGTCCCCATGGGTCTGAGGTGAAAGTGGCTTCATGTTCCTAGACTTCACAAAGCTTGGAGGCTACAGGTTACTGGATCCTGGTTCCAGCGCCCTGAGCTGCACCGTTGGACTTGGTACTCCAATACTGGTGCGGCAAGATTGATCACATCCTCGTGGGCAGACTCTGGACACTTCTGCAGAACTGCAGGGTCTATGGAAATGCCGAGTTTGTGAATTCTGACCACAGACTTGTTGCTACTCTGAAGATTCAGTTAGGTCCAGTAGGCTGTCACCTACTAGGAGGATGAGGCTGAACCCGGCCAGGCCCCAAGATGTTTCTAATGATTTTGCACGCAGTTTATGTGAGGAACTTGGAGACTTGGGTGCAACTGCCGTTTCTCATGTGATGTTGGAGACTCTGTGACAAGACCCTGAAGGTTGCTGAGAGTTGTGTTGGTGTTGCCGGTGTTCCCAGAAGGAGGGGTTTCATCTCACAGTGGATCATGGATATTATTAAGAGGAGTCACAGCACATAGCTTTATGGCAACTCCGGTCTGTACCAGGAACTGAGAGGGACGGCTGTGAGGCCAGATAAGAAGTGCTAAAGTGTATATCAGCAAATTTTCTTTGCAACCTTTCAATGTATTTGTATATTTTGTAAACTCGTTTGTAAATTTTCGTAAAGTGTTGATGATCAAGTTGCCTTGACATCGTGAGACTTTGTGGGATCGCCCCAAAGTTGCTGAACATTATGGCTGCCCTGTACGCTGACACTGTGAATGCTGTTCAGAGTGCAGGCAGAACCTCTGCGTTCTTCACTGTTGATTCTGTGGTTCTTCCTCCTACGATGCTTACATGGACTGGGTGTTGGGCAGGGTCGTGGGGTCCAGAGGCTGTGGCACATCTGTTGATTGATGATGCTGTGATCTTCAGAGTCAATGGAGGTTCTGATAGGGGCTCTGGATTGCGGATGTCTTGGATAAAAGCCAAGATGCAGGCCTTTAATGACCTCTTAGCTGCAGCCATCAATAATGCGTCTCTCTGTGGAGGGAATGTCGACAGCAGAGGTTCATTTACCGTGGTAGAGAAATTTATGTCTCTGTGACTCTTCCAATGCTGTCAGTAGACAGATTGGGAGAGCATGGATGGTCATGAGGTTGCTGGAAAGTAAGGTCCTCCTGATATCTTTGCAAGAGAAGTCTTTAGAGTCTTCGGAGTCTGTTTTGCTGTGTGGCTGCAAGACATGGACGCTATCCAGTGACCTGAGATGAAGACTGGACTCCTTCGGTACTATGTCACTTCGGAGAATCCTTAGGTACTGCTGGTTTGACTTTGTGTTGAATGAGCGGTTGCTAAGGGACCCCCAAATGAGGCCCATTAGCAGCATTGTAAGGAAGCATTAGTTACGGCGCTACAGCCGTGGCATTTCCCTGGGCTGGCTCACAGTATCCTCATTGCTGAGGACCCAAGTGGCTGGACCAATTTTCGAAGGGTGGGACTGGACCGCATGTTGGCTTGGGGGTCGCCAACTGGGATGTGGAGGTGTTTCGTCTTGTGGTGGGTGCGGCTACGCGCTATATCAGTGCCTGCTCCCCAACCTGACCTCACATATGTGTCTGTTTGTAATACCTATTTTATGTGCATTTTTTGCAAGGATGATGGAACCGAAAAATTACTCCAATTCCATGAATGCTACCAAGTTCCATTTAAAGAACTGTTTATAATATGATATATTCCCTCATTTTACAGTAAGAATGATTGAACTTGTCAGGTTTGTAACAGTGGTTTGAAACAGTGTTGATGATGATTAAAAATAACCTGTATTATTTAATACGAAATGTTAATCTGTGTGGTCTATGTAGTGTTGCAAGGGATGGAAAATTCAGATTTTTGTACTGTCAGGAAAAAAATGTGATGTTTCAGTGGGGCAACAAAAAATCTTGTTTTGTTAAAAATTCATTTAATTGTCTATTTCGGTGTGTGATTGTAGTGTCATTGCTATATCTCAATTGGTAATGTAACAGCAGGCTGTGATTAACCTGGCTTTTATAGTGTTGTTATTGCACCCTCTGTTGGTTGCCTGCTAGTCATGCATTTCCCCTAGTGCCTGCATCTCTCCACCGTTTGACTCACTGCCTAATGACTTACCCCCGGCAGACGCAGACAATGATCATGACCTCCACGTCCGTCACGCCGCCACACCGCTCTGCCCGCGACCAGCAGTACGAAGGGCCCATGAACAAGATCTCCATCCAGCAGTACCACTCCCCGCTGCCCATGGCCGTCTCAGCCACCAGCCCCCGGCCCCAGAGTGCCCACTGCCTCATTCAGACCAAAGGGCAGAAGAGCATGGACGGCTACCAGGAGCAGGTTGGCCTCCCTTTCTGCCGCCCTCAGGACGTTGCTATGAGAAGATGCTAACACTGTGCACCTGGCAACATGGACTGTGGCATTTAAGCTTCGGCCCCCAAGATTAGCTGTACTCTCTCCAAATTTAAACCTTTTGGGTAGAACTGCAGAATCATGACATCTGCCAGCTCTTGCTGACCACAGCTTCTCTGTGCATTGACAGCTATATTTCATGATATAAATCAGTATGAACATATACTTGAAAGTTTCTAATGCCATGATATGAAATATACATGCTAATTCAATTTCCTGCTAATTAGAAAAGGATATTTGGGTTAATAGTACCATTTTTACATTCCTTTGCTTTGTAAAGTGGTTGTTGGTATGTTGGTCAGTGCAATTTTAGGCAATACCATGTCATCTCTACGATACTATAAGACAAAATTAATATAGTATAATTTATGATCCAATGGGAAAATCTTTTATAGAGCAGCGACGTACATAAAGTGCACAGATACAAACATGTAATGCAAAACAAAGACAAAGTGCAAAGACAGACCGCAATGTAAACAAGAACAAATGGTGCAAACAGTACAAAGTATACAAAGAGAATGTGGTGATGTTTGATCAGTTAATGCAGTAACTGTGCCCTGGACAGCTCTGCATGAGGATAGAGAAGAGCCCGGGGTTAGGCTTCAGCATCTCAGGGGGCATCAGCGGTCAGGGGAACCCCTTCAAGCCTTCCGACATGGTAAGACTGAGCTTCTCCATCTCGCCCTATGCCAGTACTTGAAGGTTAGCGCCAAAGCTATGTGTGAATTCTGCAGGCTGCTCCCTTATTGCTGTACTTTATGGGTTAAATTGCATGTTTTGCTGGATGCAGAATAATAATTCCACTAATTTCAAAAGGGACAGACCCAGAGGCATTTCTGGTAGATGTAAGCATGTTGGTTTTCAGCTGGCGTTGTTCTTGTGGCGGTAAGTACAGTGGCAAAGTATTGAAAATATTTTGCCAGTGTTTTCAATTTCACCTACCATACTCCATTTCACATTGTTTAATATAGTATTTTTATGAATAGTCTATCTGTGATAAGGAATCTTCGGAACACATTGCTGAGCCACCTACCCAGTTGTGTATGAGATCAATGGTATTTTTTTATTGTTAAAAGTGCATATGGGAGCTCAGTCAGTAGTGTTGTCACCTCAGATATAATGGACATAATCTAGCAGAGTTTGCATGTTCTTCCTGTGCTTGCATGCCCCCCCCCCAGATGATCACTTGGGGAATGGTACCTTCCTGATTTAAGCAAAATAAAATATTCCCGGAGAGAGGCCATGCAGGTGTACATAGATCATTATAGAAAAATGCAGAGAATGCAAGATGCCTGACTTTATGATTCAAATCGATTACATATTCATAATGTACTCCACTACACAGTCTTTAGGAAATATGGAACATTTAAGACCTTTTCCTTAATAAAAGGAAGCAAGTTATGTCACATGTGTGAGCTCTGCAGCTAGTTGTCATGCCAGCCCTTGGAGCACATGCACTGTTTGGGTCTTAAGGTCAAGCCTGTCAGCCTCCGTCACACAAGTGAGAGCCAATGGCAGCCAGGCTATTTCAGTTTGGCCAGAATGTCAGTGCCTAAACACTTCACTTAGATGTGTACTGGTTCCTGATTGGCTGTCCTGAGAATTGCGGTGCTTCCTCAGTGGGTGGTCTCTCTTTTGAATGGCACCAAACATATAGAAGCTGGCTAATGAGCACAAACACCCACCAGGAAAGAACAGAATAGAAAATGTGCAGTTTGTGCATTTTAAATATCAGCAGTATCTTATAACCATATTTCTAGCTAACATCTAAATTCAATAGTACATAGCAGTTCGAATGCCACATATGAATATAGAGATCAAGATAAGTCATGTAAAATGAACAGATACAGAGGGAACAAAAATGCCAAAGCAGTAAATCTGTCCTATAAAGGAACCCAGAGATCTAAACAGGTGATCAGAAATTTTCAGCATAGTTCCCAAAAGAGTAACTCCTGATGTATGTTGAGTCACTTGCTGTAATTCCTGCAGTGTGAATTGTAACGTGATATAATGTATTTTCATAATGTAGAACCGTAAAAGTCTGTCTAGATAATGTAAATCCTGTTCTATAGGTCATGCCATGGGTTTACTATGGAAATGCATAGTAGCTTTATTATTTCATAATAAACAGTGATAATACATAATGTGATACAGTCTGTGCCATTACAATGCTGCTATGGAAATCTAAAACAATAAAAAATTCTGAAAACAGTTCAGGGTGAAAGCAGCTAAACACACCAGGGACCTGAAATTTCCAGGAGGTTCTCTGCTATTTTACACTTGACTGAGGACCTGAATTTCTTCAGTAAAAATGTCAGGGAATGGACCTAATAAACTGTTTTCACACATGAAGTCTGGACATTGTCCGGAGTTGCCCTTTGACACACGTGGCACACAACTGGAGATTGTCCATGTCAGACATGGAAATGCTCCATTTGGTTTAGATGAGGGGCGCCGCTTGGGTAGAGCATGCAGGAGGCAGGACATGAAGCAAAAAGTGCACTTTGGAAATTGCAGTGTTTTATTTACAGCACTACTGATAGAAATTCCAGAATCTCGTCATCTCTTCAGTTAGCCATGTTCGTTGAAGATCTACCCTTTATCTTCACCCTTGGATGTTTGCATTGTAACGTTTCCATGCCCGTCACACGATAAAAACGTTTTTAATATGCCCACTCACTCGTGGTGAATTCTCCTTATGTCTCCCTGCTCCATTCAGACATGGGGGTCAATCAGAAATGACCTGGTATGTGTACTAAAGAGCTAGCAAGGTAATGTTCAGACATTGCTTTTACAGAAACAGCATCTCCGGTTAATGTCGAGAAAATTTCAGGGTGGCTGTGTATGTCTGAAAGGGGCTTTATAAGTCTCACGCTTTGGTTCGAGTTTTGAGTCTAATCGCGCTTTTTTCTGAGTGACCGTGAAGACAGATGCTTACAGTGGAAGATGTAGATCTATTATTTTATATTTACCGAATTTCCATAAATATTATTTGTAGATTTGGCTTATGAGTCAAAGTAATGCCAGGTCTGTATTTGTGGCAAAGTTTTTTTGAACCCAGTCTTGAATCTAATCTGTTCTTTCTGTCCAGGGAGATTGTTTGTTTTTTTATGATAATTATGCAGTTATCTTCCTCATCAACAAGTGCACAAGTAAACAATACATTGTAAGTGAATTTTTATTTTTATTTGGCATTAATAAACATCAGATATAGCACATGTAGAACACAAGTCAGACATTTTATATGAGCGTGGAATGATATCAGAATCCCTATAAAGGTTTTAATTTTTATTCCTGTATTAATTTGATCATTTGCACTGGATTGAAGCAGGCATTTAAAGAAAAATTAAGCTGCAGGCATTTTCAGGTAATTATAGAGTGACTATGGGATGAATAAAAAGCAATATCATTTTAAATCCTCAGATTCCTTTTCTTGACAGTCGTATATTATACAGATCATCTTTTCTGTGTCTGCAAGCATTCCTTCTACATAGGAGCACAGCAATGAGCAAACCATCATGAATCGGATCATATTATCATGCAGAGCAAGGAATGTTTTATAATGTGTACAATGAGTGCACAATACTTGCAATATACACTTCTGATCTTAAAACTGCAGCACTGCAGTTTTGTTCAAAGGCGCTTAATTCTTTATTCTTGTCCATTCTCTCTCACATACTCAGTCTGTCTCTTGGTTAAGACAGTTCTTCCCTAACCAGTCTCTTCCCCTTTACCGGCACTGAATGGATTTAGAATGGATTTAGAAAGCGAGATCAATCCAGGATCCGCTTATTTTCATCTTGTCAGTCTCCTACAAGCAATTAGGGGATGTCCTTAATATTATGTAAGCTCAGTGTTCATCTAATAAACACATACAGCTGACTCAGCTGCTGAGTTTAACTGCTGTCTGACACTGATTTCTATAATCAGTATAGTATTTTTGTACCATTTCAGGTATTCTTTTGCTGTAAAGGCTACAAATTTTTCAAGCCTGATTATGTATGTTTTTCATGACATAGTATCTTTGTATATCTTACCTAGGGAAGTTTCTTTTTTGTAATCTGCAGTTTTTTGTTGGATATACTGTAGTTAAATGCAAAAATGTGTTTTTAATGAATGTCTCCCAGTGGAATTACTCTTTAACATTGGGAATCATTCTGTGAGGTATTAACTCAGGGAAACCACAGTAACATTTTTGGCTTTTTCTCGCTGCCTGTCCTGTCTGCCCTTCAGTATTGCGTGTTGATCGTTACTTTCGGAGTGTGGGGGTGGTTTACTTTGGCCCAGAGGTCGCTGTACTCCTTGTTTGCAGGGATAGTGCTGAAATTGCAGCTGACCACATCACCCGACTGCTCTGCACTCATTTGGCTCATTCAAGGTCACTGTACTGTCCTCACTATGCGTTACGAAGCTTGTGCACAGTCAATTAGTTAGCTAAACTCAATCCAAGATTCAACCAGATGAATTGGAGCAATTAGCATTTTTATTGAGTCCTTAGAGTGAAGCTATAAAAAAAGGAAAATATCCAGTTTACATTCATGAATATACAGATGCTCCTCTACTTACGAATGAGATACGTTCCGAATAGCCGTTCGTGACTTGAAATGTTCATAAGTCGTTATTCAGCATCATTTTAAAGGTATACGCAAGTACAAAGAACTAGGATGCAGGCAGTATGCACGCTACACTGCTGCACGGCAGGAGTAGTGGCCAGAAGTTTGTACTACTCAGAACTGGCGCGCAGCAAAAAAAATCGATGTTGTGGACAGGAAACAGTAACCCAATGAACACAATTTGGACTTACAGTCCTCTTCATTTGTATGTCTGAAAGTTCGTAAGTTGAAAGTTCGCAAGTTGAGGAGTGTCTGTAATACATTTACACAAATTATACAAAGAGTAAATTAATTTACTAAGTAAAATAAGCACTCTCAAATAAATTCAAATACAAGAGAATATGTTAAACATTATACGCACACGAATACTAAGCTATAAGCTAACTTATACACAGTAATGAAATTAATCAAACAAACCTTATAATTCTGAAGTTTGAAGTTTATTGTCATATGTACAAAGTACAGTGTACAGAGCACAATGAAATTCTTACTTGAAAACCCCTCCCTCACAGACAAAACATAGCACATAATACACAGAAGACATAGAAGACAAACATAAAATACTAATAACATAACATAAGAACATAAGAACTTGCAGCCATTGCCGTCATCAGCTGCTGCAAGGTGAATCACAAAGACAAAAATTAACTTTTGTCCTACCTGAAAAACCGAACTAGCAACTAACGTGCTACAGTGCTACTGTTATATTTTAACCACTTTTTGCAGTATGCAAACCAGCCAGGGGTGGTGCTAAAACGCAGAACAAAGTACAGACCCTCCTCTAATTACGAACGACATACGGCCGAATGGCCGTTCGTAACTTGAATTGTTCTTAAATTGTTATTCAACATAATTTTAAGGGTACTCAAATGTACATGCATAAGTAAGTATGTATCATGCCCTGCTCGTGCCTATCCTCCTGTGTGCCACGCCCTCCTCGCTACCTCGTGTGGAATCCCCGTGTCATCAACTGTTTTCTAGTTGTGTTAATTAGTCTTGTGTATTTAAGTCTGTGTTAGAGTATGTTTCCTGAGTCCGGTCATTCTGTCACGCTTTCGGCGCGGGGAAGCAGCACAGGAGCCGGCGAAATCAGGTGAACATGGGGATTATTTCAGGAAACACACTCAGGAACATGAAAACGACGTCAAGATTTTAATGACCAGACTGGGGAAACATACTCTAACACGGACTTAAATGCACAGCAACAATCAACATGAATTGAAACAGCTGATAACACGGGGATTCCACACGAGGTAAATGAGGGGGCATGGCACACAGGAAGCTCGGATGACCGGGGCATAACAGTATGATATAAAGTCAATACATGTTTTCTCATCCTAAAACACATTACTAATAATACATAAAACAAAATGGATAATCGAAGCACTGAATATTTCGCAATAAAAATGAAGTAAACTTTGATCTCGAGAATATGTCTTATCGATACGCAAGTACAAAGAACTAGGATGCTGGGAGTACGCACACAACACTGCTACGCTGAGGCAGTAGCGGCCAGAATTTGTACTATGCGGAATTGGCGTGCAGAACAAACGTTGATAGTTGCGGACAGGAAATGGGAGCCTAACGAACACAATTTGGACTTAGTCCTCTTTGTTCGTATGTCTGAAAGTTCGTAAGTTGAAGGTTCATAAGTAGAGGAGCGTCTGTATAACTGTCTCAAAGCAGGACAGTCACATATTAGCTAAAACTTTACTTCTAAAGGATATATTTGTGAAGTCAAATGGCCAGATCAAGGGAGAATCTGGGATGGGAAACTCTTCCCTCTTTTCTCATCTTCCCCCCCAAAAAAGTCATTGGTTGGCAAATTGTAACCCAACACTTATCGAGTAGAGCAGGGCTGGGTATCACCACTGGGTATCCAACTTACAAGGTCCCGAATCAGTTTGATTTCCTATCCAATTTTAATTAATATCGATTCTATTAGGGATATTTGTTACATATCAATTTTGCTTGGATAGGAAAGAGAGAACTAAGGAAACCTCTAACCCTCTAACTTCTACTAACATGTAATTGGTTGATCATGTTTCCAAAAGTCATTGAGTTTTTTTCCATATTGCTAAGTAGTGACAACTGTTATGATTGTTTTTTCTGGTGCCCTTGATCTGGACTGCTTTAGTTTTTGAGGCTAAATGCCTTCAGTTTCGTATGTCTGTGTTAAGCTTGTGCTGTTCGACAATATTATCAGTAATCAACAATAACAGACAAGTAACCCAGTATGTGTGTGTGACAATGACTGATCGCAAATTATTTCCTTTGTCGGGGAAGTTGGCAGGCCCGTCTGTGAGGAGGGGCGGGGCCCAGGGCGAGACAACCTATTTTGGGCCCCAGCAGAAACCAGCATAAACCAAGTAATGGAAATCATTGTGCCTTATACTCTATGGTCATTGTAAGACAGATGTAACTATATTGAAGAGTAGCAACTGTGTGTGTGCATATTCATATATATAATCATAGCAATCATAATGAACTAAACCCTGTGTTCTCTACTACTAAGTATGGTTGCATATCTGTAGCAATAAACTATCCTGTAGCCTATAATTATTTTTCAGCTGGGTCAGAATTTCACGGCAAAAGTGACTTAAATACCATGGAGAGACTAACTTGCAGAGGTTGTTTCTGCCTTGCTCTGGTCATACACACACTTGGATGAGTTAGCATTTTTTTATGTGTTTCAGTAACATTTCTGAGTTCAGTGTAACAGACAGTCTTGATCTTATAAACTACTCTCTCTCTCTCCAGTGCTATTGTACTTAATTGGGAACCCAGAATGTTCTAAAACCACCAGTTATAACTGACTATAATCAGCATTACTCATAAGCAACTCTCACATTTACCATAATGATTTCCGTGTTGAATATCACCTTGTAAATTTAGTTTCCGCCCATGTCACTAAATGTATTCATTTATTACCTTGTGCGTAACAAGCCAAAAATTATGTACCAAAACGTTACAGCCCTAATGTTTAGCCGAAATGACATGGAGGCAGTGCCTGGGTCAAGAACATCTGACTTATGGACAATTTGTGCTCATGAGCAGACTGGCATAAATGGTTTGTAATAACAAACACACGCGCTATTACGTTCATAAAAACATTGCGCGACTTCAGCAGTTCCTTGGCTTTAGGTATAGTACAGTACCATATGTAGTTACTTTTATTATTACAGTATGATTGTATTTATTATGTACTATATTATTACTGTTTAGACTTACATACAAATTTAACTTAAAAACTTGGAGAATGGATCTTACTGGTAACTGCTTGCATTCAGACAGCCTGTATTCAGGTGAAATGTGGTTGCATCCAGTCATTTAGTCTGCAAATAATCCGCAAGACACAACTTACCCCCGAGTCAAATACCATAACCAGCTCTAGCTCTGATGGTCCTTCTAAGTTGGAGAATTCTCTGGAGCAGTCAAAGACCGGCACCAGGTGGAGCTCTGTACGGTATACAAGCAAGTTAAAAGCTGTAAGGATGGATTTCCTGAGCTTTATGCATTGCATGTAACTGCCCTAGAGATTGGAGTGTCTTCAGCCTCATGTTCTTACACCATTTTGACACACCATGCTACATGAGAGCAAAGAATCCATTGATTTTTGGCTCATGAGAAAGTAATTACTAATGAACATGGATGAGTTCATTTTTGTCCAGAAAATAGGAAACTTGGTACTGTGATGTGATAGCAAATATTAAGTTCTATACATAAAAAGACAGAAAGTAGTAAACAATGAAAGAGCAAATAAAACCTAATACCCTGCCAGAGTGGTGGGTGTCACATTGATTTAAAACATATGTATGGCAATTATGGCCATTTGGAGAAATATGTCATATGTTTTATTGTAAATCATCATTTGTGCAACAATATGTCCCCTAAATATTTCTCACTGCACCTCCAGTCAAACCAGTCTAAATCTGGCCCTGGGTGACAGTGTTAATCATCAAGTCGCTGCTGTTGACATTAATCAGTCTTCACTTGACTGAGTTTACAAGTTGTATTGCGGCATTTGCTTGGCTCTTCATACAGAAGGACATGTAAAGGGCAATTTTTGATCGTCACTGATTCCTGAATAACCACACAGCATTTCAGTTATTTTTCCATGTTTGTAGTGGAGATGTTGCGCTAAACAACAAATGAGAGTGGCGATGGGTAAATAGTCAGGTGAACTCCATACAGAAAGGCACATTTAAACCATGTTAACCATGTGGTTCCTAACCTCATATCACTTTTGACTTATAGGGTATCTTTGTTACTAGGGTACAGCCTGATGGACCTGCTGCCAGCGTTCTTCAGCCTGGGGACAAAATTCTGAAGGTAACATTGATGTCCATCCCTGCACATCGCTCACGCATCTATGCGTGTAATGCTGTCCAGCACGTTCCTGCTGGGAGCTCATGCACGTGGCTGTATGCGTGTAATGCTGTCCAGCGCATTCTTGCTGGGACCTCATGCACGTGGCATGCACTATGCTCTGCACCACTGGTTGAGCATGCTCTGCTTTTGTGTCGGCTCTACCTCCCGACTCTAGTCTCCAAACTCTTGACTTCTTAACAGGGCGATAAATGGTATGTTTAGCCTTTGCTAAGAAGGACAATAGATGCCTAATTCATATTTGCCCCTGACACTAATATCAATTTATAAGGAGTAAAATTCATCACATTTTTTCCCTTCATAGATACCATGAGCTTCTCTGCAGTTGCATAAGAGCAGTGATTTCATGCTGTTGCAACTTGCAGACCTTCTTTCTCCACCTTTGTCCCGTGTAACACAGATCGACATTTCTCAGAATTCCCTCGCCCTGTCTTTGTAAGTTCTTACACTGGCCCCCTGGAAGCAACTGAGCATCGCCGGCATATTGTCACCCTTCTTGGCATGACCACATAGGCCTGTCATCCTGCAGTTGCATCCTGTTATTCAGCACCACTGGCTTAGAAGGTGTGTTCAGATAAGTTCATTCAAGCACAGTCCTACTCAGTGCAATGATAGGATTTGGATGCAGGATGTTTGGCATACATATTCCAATAGTATGGCAACATAAACATATGCAAATCTAGCATAGGCCACAGTTTCTATGCGCTTATTGAGTTTGATTCTCCTTCAGCGGTCAGTGGCTTCACAGGACTCTCAGTCCATGTAAAGCTGTCATTGAGATCCAGACCTGGATTTTGTCGTTAAATTATAGTGTGGTTTAAAATTCTGCAGCCTACATGAACTGGATGTTCTTGTGCTGGAATAACTGCATAGGACCTGATCATTGGCAGCCTTCCATTTGTGTGTCGCTTTCAGTGTGTGCAACTAGAGGCTCTCCCATACGTCGCTTCCTGAAGGACCTGCCGCCTTTCTGCTCTCTCCACAGATGGAGCTCTTTAGCTGACAAACAATCCTCTAAAATCCAGCTTCTCTCCCTTTCTCTTTACAGCATGATTTCCTTCTTCCTGTGTGCATTTGGTGTTCTCTCTCTCCTCTCTTCTTATTGACAGTGGACGTTTCGTGTCTCCTCTATCTCCCTTGAGCTAGGCCTGTCCCCAGTCTTCTCATGTGGCCACCCTGAACTTCTAACTGCCACTTTACCACGTTTACTCTCTGCTTCCTTTTCACGTTTCAGGCCAATGGACATAATTTTTTACACATGGAACATGAAACTGCTGTGTCTCTACTGAAGAATTTCCAGAAAACTGTGGACTTGGTAATCTTGAGGGAGAGCACAAGCTAATTTTTTTGTTTGTTTTTTTTTTACCGTACATAACTTCTTACATGTACAGAACTGAAATGTGTACAAACTACTTGCGTCCATTTTTATCTTGGAACAGTAACATTTGCCAATTGCTGGACCAATGGCAAAGTATTAGTGCCAAATGTACTATAAGTTACGTGTCATGTTACACACCAATCAAAAGGACATGTTTAAATATTATGCCTATTTGACAGAAGATCATTTACTGTACATCTATCAGCCTGAGGCTGTAGATTGGTGCAGATGTGGATTTTTGTTCCTTTTTGTTTGCTATTTTGTTTTTGAAAGGTATTGCTTAATTTCTTATGCATTTAATTTAACTTCATGTATTTTTTCCATTTAGATGTCAGAGCATGAAAGCACACTGGCTGTTTTGGTAATTCATTCACCATAAACACTGCCTCAACTGTGTATATGCCTTCTGTAAATATGTATATATACATTTAAATGAAGAAATGAAAGGTTCAGGTGACCCAAGTGGAGGGAGCGTATGTATGTATGCTGTTTGCTTTGAATTTAAGCCATTATTTGATTGCTATTTTTAGTGTCATTTTAGGACATTAAATATGATCTGTTCAATTTTAATAGACTTTGAAAATACCTTTATAAACATTTCTAAATAGTTATACCACCAGTTCTTTTCCATTTCTTTTTTTTTTTTTTTTTGCTTTATGTGGTTGAAGTGTAATATTTATGTTGATCTTGATCACAATTTAAAACCAATTAATGGAGTTTGTCAGATGTGTTTTTTGCAGTTTGTTTCCAAAAATCTGTGAAATGAAAGATTATCATAAAACATTGCTTTTATTTTCTTTGAATGGACAGGCCCAGATATATGAGGGGTAATCAGTACATGCTCAGTAATTGGACCTTATTTACAAAAATGTTTGTGAAACCTGATTGCTACTGATGATTGTTTCTGCACTGGAAAAGGCAAGTTGTTTTTGAGCATATCTAGTATTTTTTGTACCTTTGTTTTGTATATGTTCGATTAGGAAAGCCAGAATGTATATCTTTTGTTTCTAGAGTCCACACCTAATATGATCACTTATAGAAAGGATTCCACATCGTCACCATCAAAGCTATACACTCTGTTTACTCAAAAGGCAGAAGCCCATTTACAGTTTAGATTCTTCCTGGTTACTTTTTGTTCTGTGTGAATACTGGTAACCTGGAATATCATTTCACAGGTGACCTGGATGTGCCATTTCACAAAACTTTTTAGAAGTAAAAAAAAAATTATGAATCCAAACTTGAGAATATCACAGAGGACCTGGATTAAAAAAATGACTCACTGGTAACTAAAAATCCACGCAACAGATTTCTTCACACTCCAGATTGTGCTGCTGAGGACAGTCCAAGTGTCGATATTCACACATCCACTGAGATGTGAAACTGCTGTAATGTTCTTCTCTATACTGACGGATGATGGGTGACAGCAGGAGGCTCATGAAAAACCCATAGCATTGCATGTACAGAGTTATAAATAGGTAAGCAGGTGCATAGAGCACATAATGTTCTACAGGTTTGGATATGACCATAAGATCATATCAAATGGCACGTAGATTGGACGGTCAACACGCTAATTAAAAGCAGAAATAGTCAAGCAGAACTTTTACAATCATTCCAAAACAAAAAAAGTAAAATTTTATCATTTCACATGTATTATTTAAATTTGTAATACATCTTTTACATCCTACCAAGATTTACTGAAATTATGTCGTGCTGCTAGTAATTTTCTGTACATTTTAAACTATTTACAAATAAGTTTTTGTTTCTTTAAAAAAACACCCACATTGCTTCTTGTCATTGTACTGAATTGATTTCCATCGTAAGCTCTGTAGCATGCTTTCACATGCTTTACTTATTAAAATGTGGCTTTTTGTCTTTTTAAGTAGACATGCTAAAGGTTTTTTTTTCTTGGAAAAATAGTTTTTAAAATGCAGAGGGAGATCATTTGTGACAATTTGTGCCATAGTCTCTCTATTGATGGTTTATCACTGATGAAACCCAGAAAATGTTCCATATTTTAAATGTATACAAATGTAGCATTTAAGGTGACATCACACAGAACGGAACACTCTAAACCTGTAGTCCTAGAGAGAGTTGTGTACCTAGCTAAGGAAAGCTACCACTGGATAAATTAACAATGCTTAATTTAAAGGGTTGAGTCATGAACCTGAATAAAGTTTAATTTTTTTTTTACTAAACATTTTCAGGTTATTTGTAATATACTGATATATTTAGCTTTGCTCAGATTTCTATAACTGTATGGAAAAAGGAATTCAGGATATGGGGAAGCTGTAGTATTTAACTTGTAAAATTGATTTCTACAGTAATTGTGAATTTGTGTTATACAAAAATATATATATATGTACATGAATATAAAAATGGTCATTTTTGTATGTGTTTACAATACAATTACATATATAAAAAGCAAATATATGGTACTTTTCGGTCTAATTGCAGTATTAATGTAAATAACTGTGAATGAAAACATTTTAATTTATTCATATAGATTGTGAATGTATTCCAAGCTTTTGCAGTATGATGACTTATTGGATTTGAATGCTGCTTCATTTTTTGTGCAAGAAAGTAATTTTAACAGAAAAAAATGTTTAGTTGGAGAGGTTTAGTGAGAATTATCCTGTTTATTGATTTGCACATGCAAGTTTAAACCTTCCAGTTTTATTTCTGTATTGACACAAATATGTAATTGGTAAAGCATATATATTCTGTGTCTAGAATGCATTTTGCAGACGCTATCTGTATATACCCAAGAAATTGTTATAAAATTATGGAGGAAAAAAAAAACTAAAAATGCTGTGAAGAAAATACCAGAGCCATTTTTCGGCTTTGGGAATACAGTACAATTTTTTCAGTATTTAAGAAGTGTTTTGAATAATGTATGAAAGTCTATTGTACAAATAATAAAAACATCACTTTATTGTAAAGGTCTTGTTTTTATATAAACCAAAACATCGGGAATAATTTTTAAGTATGTTTTTAATCACAGGAACTGTGAGGTCTTCAGCTGCTTGCCATTCTTGAAAGCACTAAGATGCTATTGAATTTAAGTGGATCAGTTGAAATTCTTATCTACAGGATATCTGATGTCCCTCCAACCAAGAGCTGACGATTATGCAATAAACAAAAGTCTTATGTGGAAACAGTGAAAAATGACTGATATACTTTGTGGCTGTGAACCTTTATAAGTGCACCATTACATATTACAGCATTGCTCTGTGGCTGAGGACCCAAACCAAGTCCTTAGCAGGGAATATTTTAATAGACATATTGGAGAATTATCTTAGGAAGAACAGACCCACTTTAGCAAGCATAATTTTTATTTTATCTTCATATGCCAGAACAAGCAGGCAACACTACAATATACACATTCACAAACATATATAGGCAGTGGTAGTTTTAATCACCTACAAACATTCAAACACTGCCGTTAGATTGTTCAGGATGTTTGAAGATTTTGCCTATTTCATAAAACCACTTCATCCTCACAAAGTCACCTTGGCATTGGCAGTATTTTGTCTGTCTAAAAGTTGGCTAGTCCATTTCAGGCAAGTAAAAACAAATGGGCGAGATACTGTAAGTTCAGTGTGAAATTATAGAAAAAGTACTTACTTGCCATCAAACAGGCCACTGTAGTGCGATGAAGATTATATTCATAGAAAATCTGGACCATGTACAAGACTCATCACAATTGAATTCTGACTATAGTAATAGTCATTTAAAATATGAATATTGGTTACAAAGAAAAGTCTCTCTCTCTCGGCTGTTTTAGCAAAGGGAAACGCGGCGCCTGGGCACAGGAATGATAAGTGCGGAAAAGGTGCTGCCTGGTCCCAGGCATGACTGCAGATCTTCTGGGGTCAAAAAACATTTGAAAATCTTCATCTTAAGCACAGAACAAAGTTTGTGTGTCGCTCTCCCTAATTTGGATGAGGTGGTGCTGGTTCTGATAGCGCGGAACTCTAAGAAGGAATTCTGCTTCTGAGGTACTCCAGGAGAGAGTCTGTCCCTTTGGCCACGATCGCAGCCCTGGGGTGGCGGAATGGATTCCCATCAAGCATGAGGGCCCTGTGGTGGAATTTAAACAGACAGAAATAGTCAAACAGGAGAGTGAAATCTTTCTAACACAGAAGGGATATATGATGTTATACACAGTGAGAGGTATGGTTTAACCATTTAAACATTAAATATTCTTACAAATCCTCTAGTTACTCCTACAGATACAGATTTAGAGTGACCCTCCCTAACATCATACACAAACCCCATTAGTTACTGTCTCGCCTACCAATGTGGCGGAAAACAGGAACAGCAGAGACCAGTCGGTAACAGAAAACCCACGCCAAGCACAGCCAGCAACACCAAAACAGTCTCTAAGCCACAGTAACCAAATGTACCTCACAACTAAAAGGGACAAACTTGTGCTTGACACAAAGCCAGTGGTGGGAAAAGTACAGTGGTACCTCGGTTCTCGAACTCGAATTTCTTGAAAGTCGAACAAACCAGTTTGACCTAGAACTCGATCTGAATATCAGAAGTCGAACCGTGAATATAAATTGTACGCGCCAGGAAATGAGTCATACTACAATGCAATTCTTACTTGAATTCTTACATTACAGTAACTAACAATAAATAAACCACTAACTTATGTGTACTATTAGAGCATTTATGTCATTTATTTAAACTTTATTTTACCAGGTAAATTAACTGAAAACCTGTTCTTACTGCTTTACGTGATATTCGGGAGAAATAGATCATGCATCGGAACTGCCTGGGATACAAACGTCATGCGTGTAACTAAACTCTTCAGCCAATAAGGGCAAAGGTGTGTCGTCACGGAGGCGGTTCCAGTTCGTGCAGCCAGGTGAGAGGTTGCAATGCATCTAACCGTAATGCATTGCGTCAGGATCAGAATGCCTTGCTTTAAGCCAGCGCTGTAAGCAAGTCGACCGCACCCAATGACCGGACTGGGGAAACAAACTGAAACGTGGACTTAATACAGAGAACTAATGACAACAACCAGAAACAGCTGATCACATGGGGATCCCACACGAGGTTAACGAGGGGGCGTGGCACACGGAAGGAGCGGACGAAAGGGGCAGCACAGGGGTAATGTTGGGATAAGAACTTTATCGTTTTGGAAGCCATTAAGTAAAAAATGCTCTTGTTTTATCCTGTTCATTTTGTGTTTAAATGCTTAAAAAAAACAAAAAAAAAAAAACATTTAGGTGTAATTTTGGGGGGCCGGGAACCAGTTAATTGGTTTTCCATTATTTCTTATGGGAAAAATTTGATCGGAACTCGAACTTTTTAGGATTCGATCTGGAGTCCGGAACAGATTAAGTTCGAGAACCGAGGTACCGCTGTACTCAGTTTTCATACTCAAGTAAAAAGTACAAAAATGTTACTCAAGTAATAGTAAACGTAAGCCCGTAAAATACTACCCAATACAAATCTTACTTTTTTACTATCCTTTTAATTTCACTCAGGACTGGTTTGAATACAGTATTGTGAGTTACAGTGCAGCACAATAAGGAAAAGTCACAAGACAATAAGCGGATATTTTCTTTTTAATTCAGAAAAAGCAGGGAAACTTGCCACGCTTAACAGTGATTAGAGGAATGACTTTTATTTTGCGGAGAACAAGATTATTCTACAGGCCAGATTTAAGGAACTACAAACATTTTGCAGGCTGGTACTTTTGAGCAGAGGTGCTGGAAGAAGTTTGAATTTGGGGTGGGGGGGGGGTGCAGTGTATATTGTAACATCACACTGCATGCACATGCATGGACACACATGCAATAGTCAGATTGAGCTGAATAAAACCATTGTCCAATGCAATTATCACCATTATTTCAGTTGCAGTTCTAGTGCTTCTAACTTAGAAACTTGGTGTCAATCTTGAAAGGTACTTTACACCTACTTTGTTACATTACACCTCTGCACAAAGCAGATGATTATTGCCTTCAACACATTTGTGCTGTTTTTCTGGGGTTTTGCATCTCTCTCCCCATACACTTCATAATGCAAACAGGGCATACACAATGGTGTGGCAGGCATGCGATTTTCACATATTCCTTTTTATGCACCTGCTCTTGCTGCTGCTGTTTTCCACTTCAGGTCAAAGAGGACACTACATCAGGAGAATTGGTTAATACTATTGGTGCAGCCTTGCAGTATCATGTAGACAGAGAGCTCTTCTTACCTCAAGCTGGTACAGTTGCCCAGCTCCGGGGGAACATGAAGGATGTCATTGTTCTGCAGATCTAGGGTGGATAGCCTTTCCAGATCCTTCAACTTTATGGGGTCAATGCTGCCTACTTGATTGTTGCTGATTAAAATCGTCTCGAGAGTGTGAAGCCGGTACAGCACCTCTGGGAAGTCCTTAAACCTGCAGCATTATCAGGTATCCAAGGTCAGGCATTTTCACAGTGAGCATGACCCACATAGGCACTGTGTTATATACTTACCTATTGAAGGATAAAATTACACTCCTGAGTTTAGTTAAGGATTCCAGCTCCTCGGGCAGGGATTCCAAAAGGTTGTTTCTAAAATGATGAAAATGGTAAGGAGATTTATTCTATTACTTCAGAGCTATCAAAAATAAAAAATCTGTAATAATACTAGAAGTAAACACGTATAAATGGTGTCATGTTCTGTTTCACATGCATCTTGTTTTCAGTTTCTTGTGTAATTTACACGTTATCACCATATATCCTCCAGTCTGTTTCTTCAAATTACATGGTGTAAGTCAACACAAATTGCACAGTCATGCCATTCTTATTCATTATGAAAGAAGTGAAAAACTGTTTAAAATGTCAAATTTGAAATATGCATGTTTTAGGAAAACTGGGAACCCCCAGAGCTGAAAGTGGCATAATAATAGCAACTAGGCTGTCTATGGTGCTTTCTGAATAAACAAGCATGAAAAGGTTTTTCCATGAGTGCTTCTAAAGACATGAATGCTAAAGTGCTCACCTGAAATCTATGTGCGCCAAGCCCTGCAGCATGCAGAATTCCACTGGGATGCTGGTCAGCTTGTTGAACCCTAGGTTAATGTCAGTAACTGTGTCCTTCAGCTCTATGATCCTTGGAATCAATAGAAGCATTTAGCATTCTGAAGTAGAACGTTCTGGTCCAGAAAGTACAGATTGAGATCAAGATTTATACTCAACTAGTTGGTTGAAACAAAAGAGTTAGTCACAGAGTACTCAACTAGTTGGTTGAAACAAATCTTTGGTCTGGATTTGTACTTTTTGGACCTGAACTTTCCACCTCTGCCCAGTACACATTACATAATCCCTGTCCCCTACCAGAAGTATTTAGGGCTACAGACCTGAATTTGTTAAAATCCTCCAAGTCTTGTGACTAAAAAAATCTAACAAAAGCAGCTTTGGTTCAATGCTTAAAAGGGAGAAGAGCAGTTTAACAACAAAATATGAGGGGAAAAGGCTATGATTTAAAGGCAGCGCATGAGCAAACTGCAAAATAAGTCTTGAATCTCATACTAAAGGATCTTGACTAACTAAGCGCATTACTGAGAACACAGAGTGTGTTCAGAGTGGTGGGTTTCTGTATTATTAACATTTGTCCACTGGGGGCAACACATGAATAGGAAGCCAAGTACCTTGCTGGCAGTGAACACAGCTGATTCCTGCTGAAATTCACACTGGAAATGGGATCCTTTCCAACTGCGTCAAACACCTCATCAGGAACTGAAGCTTCCTGCTTCTCGCTATAAACAATGTCAGTTCATCAACAAAATGCGACTCATTAAAACTCTTCTCACACCCCTCTGTGAGGAGATAATTACTCAGAGACGGGAAAAAGCTGATTTTTTATT